ACTGATATGTTAATCACCTCCCCCGCGCTTGACCTGACCCGACCCCGTAGATCAAAATCCACAAAGGGTTCGGAAAGGTGCCAACTCGTTTGTGATTTAATGTGCTCTATGTCAGTGACTGACCAAAAAAAGCGACAAAAGTTTTGGAGCAGCATAATACGATTTGCTAGAAGGATACTGTTGTAATAATTAGTGTTTTTTTGGTAATTATTGCGCCTGTTTCAAGATGTTAATTGTCATTAATGCTTTCCACTTGTCATGTTTGTCAGAATAGTTCTTAAATCTATGAGCAGCTTACACTCAACTTATAAATCGCCCTGCTTGTTCTTTTCCCTGCTCCCTTTTTGCACAAATTGAAGCGAAAAGGAATAGAGTTTTAGCAAGTGTTTCATCAATTTTTGAAAGTGTTTGGCAGATAAAAACACCAATCCCCTACATTACTATCGGCACCGTTACGAAAAACTACAAAAATTACTCATTGTTGCGTCGGAAGCATAAAGCATTTCTAAACTTTGGTTTTCAGCATAGAAAGTCATATAATCGGAACTTTTATCAAAATAATCAATATATAAAGTATTTTTGAAAAAAATTGATAAAATTCAAAAATTTTGGTCAGACATTGAGCGTGAACATACCGCTAAGTCCCACTGCGACAATAGTCTCGATAGCCTTATTTATGGGATCTATTTTTGGAAGTAAGTCAGTAACTTCTCTGAAACTCTTCAGTTTAAGAAGGCAATTTCGGGTGTGGAAGAACTAACTGTGCAGTGAAGAAGACTAAGCAATTCAGCTGTAATTCCACCATTTCGTTGATGATTTCGATGGCTCTGGAAAGCTCGATGCATTGAGTTTAGCCTGCTGCTGAAAAAGAGCTCACCTTTCTGTGGAAATGTGTTCAGCGATACTTGCGTAATCCATTTTGTCTAACAAGCCATCAAATTCAGCCTGATTTTTGGCAGTGTTATTTAGAATACTCAATACATCCTTAGGGTAGTTTGTATGTCCGTAAGCCCATAAGGTTAACTGAGTATCTAACCTAGAAACTGCAAAGACTTCTCTCGATACTTGGGAAAGCAATTTTTTCTCCTGAATTCGTTAACTTCAGTTTCCTCCGCGTTTGTTTGCAGCTCACCTTATCGTAAGCGTTGACGTCGTTCCCGTAGTTATATACATCGCCAACGAACACGCAGCTCAATTTTCTTATTGGTAAAGCTAAACACCCACATGAATATGGATTAATCGTCAAGAAATTGATTACGCGCACTTGTCGTTGTCGAGCGTGTTGTCGTTTTGATAGTTGGTACCGTTGGCAGAAACCTAAATTCACTGCGATCACAAAAGCGCTAGAAGAGGCCGGACCTCAATAATTCACGAAATATTGCACTTTTGTAAATTTTTCAAACGCGAAAAATTGTCGATTACTCACA